AGTCGTTCCAGCACCAGGCATCCAGGGGGCCAGTTCCGGTCGTGACCTCGCTACACGAGCGCTCTCTCAGGCCATTGGCCTCAGCAATGCGCTCAGGTGACTTGGGTGACTTGGGGGAAGGGAGGGAACTCGTGGATGGATTTGGCTGAAGAAATGATGGGTCGGTTTCAATTTTGGTCTTAACTGGTTCATATGGTTTCCTGTTTGTTGCTAGCAAATTGTAAAAGCACTGAGCAAGTAAATAAATATAAGTATAAATATATATATATATATGAAAAAGCCATGCCAGCCTGAACACTAACCTTTCTTCGGATGTGCGGACAAACCCCATATTCTTGCAACATGGAAAAACCTCGGAATTCCTGGAAAAAAACACAGATATTCTTCCTCCAAACATCTCAAAGCCTAATTGAACGGAACTGCTAGACTGTGGAATGGCAGCCTGTACAAAACGGTGAAAATGCCTGCTGCGATAAAGCCGATTGTGACGCCCTGTACATGGTGAACCAACTGGGTGGTTATTCAATTGATCTTGATTGTTCCATTACTGTGTTTTGTTGACACTTGTGTTTGCATTAAATTGGGAAAAGTTTGTGTGTGAGGTAGACCCCGTGATTCACCCGTTCTTTGCCCTTGATTTCCGAGCGGAAAATACACACTTGTGTGCATATATTTAATTTTTAAAACTATATATGTATAGAGATATTATGATTAATGTGTTGTTCAATCCTGAACCGCCGGTAAACAGCTCACAGGTTCGGAGGTCGGATATCGGATGACTTCCGAATGTGCCCGCACATCACCCATCGGACGGTTTTCTCGACACCGACGATTCTCGACACCCGAGGTATGTATGCTTTCAATCTGAACAACAAGACTACGCAGCGCAAACACCCAAGGTTTCCAGCAGCTGAAACAACATCCCAAATACCTTGCTCCCATACCTTTGCGGATGTTGTTTCTTCCCCAAAGCGGTCTTTACATGTTCTCACTGATGATTTGTGTTCCTCCGCCAGGTGCACGGTACACGACTTAGTTCGGACTGGTACTTGTTGCAAAAAAATATACTAAACTTCAGAAGCCACCAGAATCCAGACTGATTGTATTCAAACCTCTGAACTTCATGTCCAAACACACCACGTCTACGCTTCGACATGTTGGGTTAAACGGATCCAAGCGTCAAGTCTTTGTGACATCGCCTCTTGCAGATGTGCTTCCTGTTGCAATGCCTGCGCTGTTTCCGATGACATTTCCGTCTGCGCGTTTGAAACGAGATCAAAAAAGTGTAGTGGCGCCCGCTCGCTTATTTTGTGCTGTTGAATATGGAAAAGCCACCGTGTTTTCATCTCCAAGATGTCCATCTCACGACATCCTCCAACTAGAAGGATTTTGGGCCATTCTGGAGCCATTCTTCCCCAAGCAGGGATGAACCACAGGTGTTCTTACCAGAGAGAAAAATATTCAAAGGACATCCCACTCTTTGCAGGGGTGACAAAGGAGAGCATGGTCATCAACTAATATTTCTTCCCGTCTCCACGAAATGGTTTCCAACCTTCGGTCTAGGACTTCAAAACAAACATTGGCTGGAGAAACATCCAACATGGTCGGAGAGATGTTCTTTACAGGGTGATCACGCATCAACGGAGTTTCGGATACTAAACGGCGGCGAAACTACACAGCCTCTACTACTTACTATAGAGGTTTGTTCCGGGGAATGCACCACCTATGAGCTCCCAATCAAAAAGCCTATACAAATTGAAAGCCTTCATGCACGAAGAACTTGCAGGAGAACACCAGACCACAAAACTGCAGATGTCTGGCTAAAGGACATCTGCATATGGATCACCTTGATCAGCAAAGCTAGGTCACACCCAGCCCAACTGGGCCCTATATGTTCAACATCTTTCAACCTGCTTTCTCCAGTTTCATCGCTCCATCAGACCACCCCCCACCGTGCCGACCTGATCTGCGAAGCGCCGCAGGAGTTGCTCGGTCCAGGAGCCCCGATCGCGACCGCGCTCTGCCTCAGATCCCATCGGTCTGGTGGCGGTTGGCAGTGTCGATCTGCGTGGCCGGTGGTGGATCTGCAAACCATCACCTTGGATCTTGGTGGTTTACGCCAACTTTGATCCTGTCGATCTGTGCAACTGGCAGTGTGCAACTCGCCAGGGTATCCTGGCTAATTAACAGTGGATGATGGTCAGTACGATAATGTTAAGTTGCAGGTTACCAGCTGTTCCTGGTAATGAGCCACACACCCAATGTGGATCCGCCGGCGGGCTCCGATGGCACAACTGGACACTCCGACAAGAAACACCTGGCTTGTGTCCCATCCTACATCCTCATACAACCTAACTCAGCCAGAGGATGGCTTGTAAACCCCCCTTACCTCTGGCATATCCAGTAGCTATCCTTTGGGTGGTGCTGGAGCGGTGAATATTGCAGTGAACTGTTGGGATCAAACACTGATACACTGATTGCCCCCTGCTTGAGATACCTTCCAAGGCGCGGCGCAAGACCTCTCTCTCGTCCTTCTTCTCCTCCGTGCTTCCAAGCCCTCTAGTCATGTGCCAGTCCATTGAAATCGTAATTTTCATGTCACTATAGATCTGGCACATAGAGACCCTGTTTTTAGTCATAGAGACTGTTTTTATTAAATCTATAGTCATTTTAATAGAGACCCTGTTTTTTGAGATCGTATGGATCTGATAGATCTTGGATGACAATTGGACTTCACAGTCACACGGCATGTCCCACCTGTCCAGCCATGTTCCATTCTTCCACATGTCGAAAAATGCCTTCCCCCAGCGGCCGAATGCGTTTCCTTCAGCCCAGATGCCACATCAGCAAGGCTCAGGAGTTTCGAACCCAGTTCCTGCAAGCGGGCCGCCAGTCCCGGCTCACCTCGCGGCGACTCGACGAACGCGCCAGTCGAAACGCCCGGACGAACGCCGAACGACTCGACGAAGGCGCGAAGGTGGGGCAAGTTGTGCCTTGGGATTTGGACATTTGAGCTGGTGTCTTCTTTGACACCCTCTCAGGATTCAAAGCACCCTTGAACCTCAGTTTCACTAAGTTTAGACGATCGGACCTAGGCGACCCCAAACCCTATGGATCGGATCTGAAGTGACACTGCTTTTCCGGTCAAACGGATGTCAACTGGCGACCCCCTCCTTTCCGAAGCTGGTTTTCCTCGGAGGGGACAGGTCTCCACCATCCTTGTCATTCGAATGATTCACACGTGACCGGTGGCGGCCCGTCCCGGCACGGCGGCCTTTTCCCTTGGCATTGTCCAGGAGCTTTGCAGGCTCCTCGAAGCCCGAGCCTGGAACAGCCAAGTTGAGGGGAGGCAAAAGGGAAGAACACCACATGACATCAAACCACAAACTGGCCTGTTTGGAGCCTGATTCTTGGTTTTTGTGGGAGTGTTTGATCAAGTTTCAGAACAAGAACCTCAAGTAGGTTGCTGGGAGTAGGTGAGTGCTGGGCCCATCATTTTTTTCTTCACACATACCACATACCTTCTGTACCAGGTTTTGAGCTTGGCCAAGTCAGTCGAATAGATCTGAATTTGCATTTATGTAATTATATGTTCTCCTTTCCATCCAACATCATCCAACCTGCCAACTTGCCGTCGCCGTCCCACTTGGAGCTCTACGTCATCCAATCGAGGTACTCTTGAGAAATCTCCCAATTGCTGCCAGCGCTTCGTCTTCGTTCGCCATCACCGGCAGGTGAGCGAGGCAGTCGCGAGGCGTTTTGGTCACAAGGCAGTCAGGTGGTCGGTGACACGAATGTCACATCTCGAAGTGGGCTGTAGTAGTAAGGATTGTTAGGTTGGATCCGAGATTCAATGCCTGACCGAAAATAAGGAGGTGCAAAGGGTCATATTGACTGTCCAGCTGCTATTCAGCTGCTGTCCAGCGTTCCAATTGTCTTGATCTTCTGGCAATTCGTCACTGTGGCTGTTGAAGCAGATGATTGGTCATTGATGGGGTGTCTCCGCTGAAGGAAACCGAACACCTAAGTCAACAAGTTGGTGAGGCTGTTTCAACAAGTTAAGGCTTGGCAATGTAGATGAATTTGCGCTTATCTTTCACGAAACACTTGTATGCAACAGTCTTCCTGTTACGGAGTCCTCTGCACTATCATATTATCCTTCTGATCCCGTATCCACCTTGCCTAAACTCTGTTGTTGTCAAAGGATATACAACATAACATCTACCAATGAACCAGTCTGCGCAGTCAGCGGTTTTTAAACTGGACATTGAATGTGAAAGCATCATGTTGCCGGACCGACTTCACGCCAAAGATCAACATGGCATATGCATGGCACATCCATGTCGCTATACTCGAGAAGAGTTGGAGAACTTGACAGTCAAACAACCACTGCTGGTGAATGATAAAGAAAAAACAAAGAAAGCAAACCACACCCAAAGACACGACTTGAAACGGAGCAATGAACTCTCAAGGTAAACCTATGCCAAGTCAAACCCTTGTTGGGAAAATGACTACCAAATGCCGACCAGTTGGGAAGATGCATGAAAATGCCAAAAGCAACTTAAAGGCAAGCTCTCTATGTTCACCATCTCCAAACATCTCTTCAGTGGTATAATCGAATTTGGATCGTCCAAACCATGGAAAGTGACAGTGGCATCTTCAAGCAACTCCACGGAGCTTGAAAAAACGCCTGTGGACCTCACCACTAAACCATCGGCTACAACGACCCCGCCTGTATGGTCTATGTCCACTTACACATGGATGATGTGTTTGTTGACGATCCTTTCTGGCATGCTCAATCTTTACTGTTCCTGAGAGTCGGAGTATGATGACCTTTATGTTTGACAGGATGAACTCCAGCATGCCTCCAGTTGTGGCTGGTCGGAATGCTATCTATCTAGCTATCTATCTATTCCTTATTCCTCAAGCAACTCTCTATGAGACGAACCCCCCCAGGGCATCCGTCAGACTCGACGATCCCCTCGGATGTTCTTTTTCTTCTATGGCTCCAGCTTCTTTGGCTGCACGATGGCTGGCAGGGCGCCAGCAGTGGGCGACTGGTACTCACCCAATGAGGGAAGAGGCCCTTCGTAAGGGAGGTGAAGCACCTGCAGATCGCACGCGGTGGACCGGCCGTCGGTTTGCACCGGGTGTGTCTCCGCGTCTGTCACCCCAGTGGCCAATGAAGTCCTTCTGGCCTTTGGGGGTCAGTTTGGTACCCTGTGGCTGTTGGTTGTAGACCTGGTCACCTGCGGGTATCCCTCGACTCAACCAATGAAAAGAACAAGGCCATCATATGCCATCTATGGTGGTGGCATTGCCATGCGTACAAAAGCCAACAACATCGATGGAAGTAGATCTTTGGGGAACACGTTTCCCCATGCATACCTGTAACGATGTTCGAACCCGCCCGTGATGGGTGATGCTTCCCAAAATCCATCCAAAAAATGCAATCCAACATGAAAAATGGGTGTGTTTCAATATAGGAAGACCTCTCAAAGTCCCCTGGAAGATGGGAAATTACACCAGTCTACCCATTGGTTGAGGATCTCTGATATTTCAATTCACATGAACACATCTTTTCCCATGTGTTTCCAAGTGAGAACATGTGTTTCAGTCCAGATCGTCCCAATCGCAGCCGAAAAAAGACCTGGAGGAGAATACCTGGAGGAGAATTTCAAAGCGATATGTTGTGTGGAAAAAGGCTCCCTGCATCGAAACATGCATACACCTGGTAAGATCAACTTGGAACCTGAACAGGGACCTTTGGAAGACGATTTTCCTCTACAACCCAGTGGTTTTCAGGTTCTATGTAAATCTTTCAGAGCGTAAATGTTTCCTGGTCCTTCTTTCCCTGTCTCTCTCGGCCTGTTTAAAACTATAATATATGTATATATATATTATATCTATAGGGACGGTTTGTATCTGTATATGTATATGCTGTCTTGTTTTGACCATGTGTTCACCAGAAAACACCAACACCACTGCTTGACCTGCAACCTTTCTGCTTCTCCAATCAAGTCAACTTGGTCACCTAAGTCACTCGACTGATGTGGTGCCTTCGGGTGCTCTTTCAGGATTGGGTCAGCTCCGAGGCGATAGCGAGGCTCCAACATGTCGGGGTACACCAGTTGGCGCAAGGTCCTGGTCGAGCGGCGGAAGCTGCTTTCCCCAAGCGGAAGCAATTCGGTGCTCCGCCACTTCAATTCGGTGCTCCGCTAGGTTGCCAACTAGAATGTATCTACAACTTATACAGTAACTTCTACAGTACTGACCCGAATTCATGGAAGCAGTTTGCGGGTTTGTGCATGCTCACAGAAACAAACAGAAACCACAAAAAACAACATCTTTCTTGCCAATAATACACAGCAAGATTGAGGACATGTCGACGCAAAAACCATCGGAACCAACCCCGTGGAAGATGAGTGCCATGTCTTTGCACCCCTCCAGTTCAACTTCACAGCGGGGGCTCTTCGGTACAGAAATGATCAACCGAGGAACATCGAGCCATGTCTCATCCATCCCAGCAAGCTGGGATCAGGTAGCAGGGTCACTTCAGAACATACTGGTACAATCTATATAGAACCCCATGGATGGGATGGATCAGACTATTTTGATCCTATTAGATTCAGATCTAGTCTGATCTAGGGATCAGTCATGATCAGATTAGCCGACACGTCACGAAAGGAGTACTAAGTTGGATCAAAGTCCTCCCAACTACCAGAGCTAACCCATGGCTACCCACCAGGCTACCCACTTGGCTACCCACTTTGGCCCGTTCCTTTCTTCATGGGTTCCTTTTTCCCGTGCATCGCACCATGACTTGTGCTGGCTTCCAAGGCCCCCATTGGATGGAGGGAAGTAGGTGTTAGAAATTAACTATTGCGAGTGGATCTTAATCAGCGAAGTTTGAAGCTATCACTGACGGTCCATAAGCGGCGTAGCGTCGGAACGGAAACCGCACCTTTTCTAGTCGCTTGATCTTGAGCCAAAGTACATATGGTATACATATATATGTACAAGTTGCACTGTACGTGTCGCTGCACTTTCATTCGCACCCCCCATGTGAACGGCAACAATATGTTCCGATCACACACGAAAATTTAGGGATGTAAGTGCTGCAAGGGAAATTGTATGATTTGCCGCGAGACTCATATGAGGCTCATACTACAGAACATGCTGGACTAAAGCGGACTTTTACATATAAAGTGTGCAACTATGGCTCAGAACCTATGAAAAAAAAATCGAATTGAACAAGTGAGACAGTCACGAGGCCTCGCTCAGTGTCCACTCAAAAGAGCATCGCTTTGATGTAGATCCGAACTGGTGACTTCCACGTAGATGTCACATCGGCAACTGACTTCACACTTCTCAAAAGATGTAGGTTTTAGTTTGGATACACTTACAGAACGGCAAGTCGGAGAGACAGTCGGTGATTGTCTTCCTTCCATTGTGCTCATGGTATCAAATCAGATTGACGATTTGCAATGATACACTTACAGCGTTTCAGGTCAGATAGACATCCGGTGAATGACTTCCTCCCTGGTTTGCATGGTATCCTCATAGTCGTTCAAAGAAATCACCACTGGTGATAACCTCTCCATCCACGATGATCCCAGCTGCCCTGAGCATCCCATCGATCATCTTCTCCCTTCTTGGACTTTCCCTTGGACTTGCTCTTCCCCTTTCCCTTTTCAGAAGGTTGAGGTACTTCGCGATGTTCTTGCGTTAGCGCCGGCCTCCAAGATGTTCCAGATTGGCCTCCTCCTTTGGAATGTCCTCGGGATGATGAAGAAGTTGTACCTTCTGCTGCATGTGTGTTGGCGGCAAGATCTTCCTTCAAGGCTTGCTCGAACACATCGGTAGCACTGGATGGTGATTTATCATGTGATCTGGCTTTTAGAACAGCCTTCGTCTTGTTCTCCTCTGTTGAAGGTTTTGACTCCTCACTTGGTGCTGACGACGGCTTGGCCTCGGTTCTGGGTGTAGATGCTGGCTTTGCCTCAGCTCTTGACGAAGATGCTGCTTTCGCTTCAGACTTAGTCGTTGATGTTGACTTAGCTGTTGCCTTGGCTGCCTGCTTCTTCTTGCCCTGAATCTCCTTGGCCCTATCTCCAAAGCCTAGACGATTGGTAAGAGCTTGAACATGCTTATGTTCTACCACGCTCATCCATCTCTCTGTATGTCCAACGTTGGGGTTTCTGGCCATTGACTCTATGACTTCCTGAGCTTGTGGGGGTAACCTGATCTCATGTTGATCAATGATCAACAGAATAGACTTCTCCCACTTGCCCTTCATTCTCGAGTACATGATGTCCAGAGGATCGATCACCTTGTGGTTGGGTGATGTAACGTCGGTTCTAAAGTAAGAATATGTCCGACAACCATAAATCGCATGGATGCACTTCTGTACCAATTCAGTCATTGCGCTGGCTTTCTTCACCTTCAACTCCTCAAGCTGGGCATCAGTCAAGTCGGTGGAGTGTTCGAAGTTGCCATATTCCTCCTTGAAGGAATTCGGAGTATGACCAAATGATAGGATCATGAGTGCTACCTTGCAAATGAATTGCTCTCCTCTGAATCGGTGCCAGGCCTCCTCAGTTGTAATATTGTTATCGTTGGCAAAGATTAACATCATCTCATCTGTTGGATCCAATGGTCTCCCATCGCCATCGATTTCAGTGGAATCTCCTGTACCGAACTTGCTTATCACATCCAGACGCTTCTTTTTCCAATTTGCTTTGAAGTCGGTAAGGCTGGTGCAATAGTAGCTCTTGTACATCAGGGAGATCATGCTCAGCACACATTTGACCACATACCTGTCCATCAAACCCGATGCTTTCACGGAGACGTCCTGACAGTAGGCTCTCTCTTGATGCGCATAGATTCGAGGTTCCGGTACTCGACAATAGATGGGGAGATCCTCGTTATCCTTTCCTTCTTCGGGATTGAACTCGGTCGCTCCATGCTGTGCATAGTATCCCGGTTCGTCACGATCTGTTGGTCGATTCGCCTCCGGATGTAAGTCGTCGGTGACGTCTTCATCCTCGGGCTCACCATCTTGACGTTTCTTCCCCTCATATTGTTGTGTGCTCCTCTGGATCTCGATGATCATATTTCGTTCATCTTCATCTTCTAGATCAGAATCACGACCGTAGTCGATCTCGTCCTCATTGAAAGATGGGGTCTCGACATTGTCACCCTTGAAGTTTTCTGCACCATCAGACGGTTTGGAAGGATCTAGATTGTCCATGTCCTCGTCGTCGTCAGCTGCTTCAGTTTGAGCGATGTCTTCTTCCCAAGCCCTTCTGATCTCGTCCATAGTGGCCTGGTCCAAAGTATCTTGAACATCATCTTCAGGCTCCTTCTCTTCCTTCTTTTCCTCTTCATCGTCGGTCACAAGATCAACGGGTGAATCGGAAATGACAGTGTTGCGAATACCACACGAGAGTAGTCTGCCTTGACAAGATAGACACACGGACAAAGATGAAGAAGTCAAATGCATACATGATGGACACAAAATGGTGCCATCCACGTTGCGATATCCTTCACATGTTCTGGAGATGATTTCGTCCCAAGTTTCCTCACTGATGGAATCCTCGATCAGCTCTCCATTGTCATCGAATTTTACTTCATCGATAAGGGACACGAGCTTTTGGACGTTGTCATCTGTCGCCGAGGCTGACTTTGTGACTTCGTCGGCTCTCTCGAGGATGGTATGCTTCTGAGCAACCCAAAGTCCATGACGTGCCGCTAGAACAACTTGCTCTCCGGTGCTTCCCAGCAGGAGTCTCCTCCATGCCTGAACGTGGTCGTCCCAATACCAAGCACCTCGTACACATCTCCATGGAACTTCTCTAAAGACAACAGTGTAGGAATTCTCCGAAATTCTTCCCCCAAGCTTCCTCAAAGTCATGATTGGAACATAAAGGCATACGGGCGTCCCCCCCCTTGGCCATCTTGATCTCAGAATCTTTGATGATCGATCATCCCACGGCGCAAAGTGGTTGAAGAAAACACTACCTCTATATCCTTCCATTCCACCAGGGACAATTCCTAGTTTCATAATTGACTCAATATTGGAAAGCGATGTCATGTGAAAGCTTCCTCCAAGCTGCATTGCCACATTTTCTGGAATGAGATGTGAAGTCCACACAGGATATATTGACACGTCCTCTTCAAGGACAGTCTCTCTTCCTGAATTGTGAGAGGCAACAGCTCGAATTGCACAAGGAACGATCCAACGTTCATGCTTCAGAAATGACGGTGCGTCTGTGCCGTAAAACATGAGGTTTGCCCAGTATTGCCTTTCCTCTTCGAGTGAGACATCCTCCTTTGGGATGCGAATGGCGGCAATCTGATAGCGTACTCTGTTTTGCAACTTCTTTGCATGCCACATCGCCTTGCGCAAATATTGGTATCGATCTGTCTTGGTATCTTGCTCACGTTGAGTGCCTGAGATAGTACTGATATTGACACCATCGCTGAAGACATGATCATATTCCAGGATCTCATCGATGTTCACCCATCCACCCTCATTGCACTTCGGGGATACATGTGGTTTTCGACCGCGGTGCGATTGAATCCCATTATGCTTTCCCACTCCATGCCTGAGTAGTCTATTGAGTCTATGGCTAATCTCACTGACCCACTGACTCTCCTCGCTGGACTTGTCGATGCGAATTGCTGGGTTCATCTTTGGTGGATCCGTGAAAGTTGCATCTCTCTTCGGTCCATTCCAGTACTCCACATAGAATGTAACTCCATATTGTGGAATTATCTCGATGTTTCCTCTATCGCAAGCTACCTCAATCTGCCGATATCCAGCCTTTTGAAATTGTTGTGGATCAGGAGCAAGGTCCTTCACTTTGGGCATCTTTATTCCGAGTGCTGCAGCCTCCTGAATAAGTGCATCAAGTTCCCTCTTTCCATCGGGACCTGATCTATCAACCCTGTGATTTGCGACCTTATATTCTCCTCCTTCTTTGTCATCGGCAATGTCAAAGAGGTCGACGGGCTCTTTGAATCTGGTGACGAAACTGGCGTTCCCAAAGGCCTTCTTGGTTGCCTCAACCGCTTTCGCGTATTCCTCTTTTGCAGAGTCTGACGAATGTGGTCTACCTTTGGCTCTCGGAGAGTAAGGT